GCGGGCCGCCGAATGCCAAACCGCCAGCCTCTGCGCCGCCGGCGCGCAGCAGCTCCTCCATCGCCGCGGCGAGGTCGTCGTCTACGATGGCCTCGCCTGGCGGCGCCCCCTCTCCGGCGTCATCTCCGCCCTCGCCGCCCCCGCCGCCCGCGCTACCCTCGCCGACGGCGTCCGTCAGCTCTGCGAGAAGCGACTGAATGGGCAGATCAGCCCGGGAGGGCAGCAGCTCCCCCTCGCTCTGGGGGGCCGCCGCCCCTTGACCCTCCTCCTCTCCTTCCCCCGGCAGCTCTCTCCTCAAGCGCGCGAGCGGCTCCAGCCCAGCCATCTCCGACCCGGCTGTCTCCAACCCTGCTGCCGCGAGCAGCTGGCCCCAGAGCACGTCGTCGAGGCCGACGCTGTCCAGCCCGGCGAGCAACGCGTCCTCGTCCTCCGCCTCCTCCTCCTCCAGGCCCTCGTACCCTGAGGCGGCCGCCGGCGTGAAGAGCTCGGCTCGCGGCGTCGGCCGCCGCCGCTGTCTCGGCTCGCGCCGCCGCCCCTCCTCGCCCTCCGTCTCGTACTCGTCCGACTGCAGCACAAGCCGCAGCGCCGCGGCCAGCTCCTCCTCGCTCTCCTCCTCGCCGCGGGTGGTGAAATCCGCGTCGAAGGCTGCGTCCGCCGCGCGTCGGCTCCGGCGCGCTACGCGGCGGCGGCCGCCGCCTCTCGCACCGTTGCCGCCGCCACTGTCGCTGCCGCCGCCGCCGCCGCCGCTGCTGCTGCCGCCGCCTTCGCCCCAAGCGCCAGCGGCCGCTAGCAGCCCCTCCGCCGTCTCATCCTCGGGGCCTAGAGCGCCCCGCGCCAGGCGCCGGTGGAGGTCACGCTGTACCGCATGGTCCGTGGGAAGGTTGTCGAGCAGCTGCAGCCCCGCCGCCTCGTCGCCGACGCCGCCAAAGCCGGCGGCGACCTCGCTCAGCGGCGGAGGCTCGCCGGCGCGCGCCCACCAGCCAGCGGTGGCGTCGGGCCGAGCGGCTGCCCGAGCGGTGAGGTTGGCCGTTGCGTTATTTCGATCCACCACACGCCGAGCCCTGGCAGCTACGGGCTGCGCCTCGCTGACGGCGGGAAGCGGCCGACGAGGCGCCTGCTTCTCGAGGCTCGCGGCGCGGACCACCGGCAGCCGCGACGCGGCACGCTCCGGCGCCGCGCGGCCGAGCGCCGCCAGTGCGACGAGCCAGCCAAAGCGGACCATTATCAGGGCCGGGCTGACATTTTGCTGCGTCGGCGTGCACTTTGCGGCGTCGAATCGTAACTGGTCGCCACCTGTCAGAAAGGAGAATGCACAGACGGAGAGCTCCGCTGGTAACGGATTTGGCCCATGCGCGTGCTCTTCCTCTTGCTCGCCGCGCGCTCGGGAGCCGGAGTGGCGGGGTCGGAGCTGCTGCAACGGCGCGAGTGGCCACGAGGGGTGGTGCTGGGGCTCTCCAGAGAACGAGGCCACGGCGCGGCGCTCGCGGCGGCGCACGGGGCAGCTTTGAGCAGTGCAGCGCCTCAACAGCAGCTTCAAGCAGTGCAGCGCAACGCCAGCTACCTCTCCAAAGCTGCGCGGCGGCTGGCGGGCCTGTGGGAAAGTGCCGGGCCGCGTGCTCGGAACGCGCACTCGGCTCGCTTGCCGGTGGCCGAGTCAGTCTGGATGGCGAGAAGCGCCAAGGCCTTCCCTGCATTCTGGGCGCTGCCCAGCAGTGCGCAGTACTCTCGCTGCGCCGACGGGCGGCCTCGATGCGGATTGCCGCGAGTGGCGTGGTGGCCTCCAGTGGTGCGGTCGTTGGTCAACACCGCGGCGCGCGCGCGCCGCGGGTGCTGCACAACAAGCGGAGTGCATGGGCGGGCGCTCTATCGCTCTCCGGCGCCCAACTTTGACTATCGATTACCGCCGGTTATTATAACCGGTGGGAGATCGTTCCTGCAGACGGAGGGATTCAACGCGGCGATAACTGCCCGAGACGTCCCTAACCTTTATTTATTTCTGCCCTGCTTCAGCAACCGGGGGCCGTCTTCCTCAACCAACCAAACCTCATTACCGACTGCCGGTCGTTGGGGACACGTGACTCCCGCAAAGGGCAGTGTCTCCACCCGGGAGTCGGACATTCCAAACCCCCCCCTGCCCCCTCTCTCTCCCCCCCCCATCCTAGCCCTCTCTCTCTCTCCTCCTCTTTCTCTCTCTCCTTCTCCCTCATTCCCCCCCCCTCCCCCCTCTCCATCTCTGCCGCCCCCGTGCCAACCCCCGCCGCCGCCTCGCCTGCCTCAGCAGCACCGGAGCATCCTAACGTCATCGCTGTATAACCCGGTGCGGCGACGTTTTTGCCTCCGTGTGACGAGCTCCAGTCGTCTGCTCAGGCGTCCCGCCCAGGCGGGCGCCGCGGGGATGAGTGGAAGCGCGCACCAGTGGCGCCGCTGACGAGCTCGGGGGCCTGCGCGGGCAGTTATTCGGCGGCAGCGTTCGCCGTGAATGCAAAGTTCATTCTTGCGCCGCGCGGCGACATCCGCACGTCGCCTCGGCCCTTTGAGGCCGTCGCGCACGGGGCAATCCCCATCTTGATTGCAGACCGTCTCTTCCGGGTTGGTCAACCTTTCCAATGCATGGTGCCATGGCGGCTCTTCTCCGTGCACGTTTCTGAGGCCTCCATCATGTGTGACGCGGTGGCGGCCTTGCGTAACGTGACTGATTCCATCTCGCCGGACAAGCAGGCCGCTATGCGCACGCTGATGCTGCACTTCCGTCGCGACCTCCTGTGGCGAGCCAACAGCAGCAGGGTAGCAGAAAACCTGCTGGTGCTTGCGCAGCGCAAGATGGGCGTGGACAAACCGCTGCTGCCGGCGGCCGAATGCTCATTTCTCGACGAGCAGAGGAGCGATGCCGGCTTCCGGGCACACGACGAGGCTTGCCGCGGTCGGGCGTGCTGTCGCCCGGCGGGGACGACACGCAGCGTAGAGACGACACGCAGCAATCAACGTGACCATCATCAATGGATGCACAAAGAAGAGGAGAGCAGAACTCATTAAGGCGAACGAAGCAAGACTGAAAGCATCCCGTCGGAGAGCAGGTCCGAGTGCCGCCACCGATGGAAGGCCTCCCTAATGAGAGGCCTCTCACAACCGCTCGGGAAAAAGAATTTTTACGAAATACCAGAGACAGAGTCACAGATCGCGACAGAAGAAGAAGCGACAAGGGAAAGAACGACGAGAGTGGGACGACCGCGAGGTGGCATGAAGGTTGCAGCGAGAATCGGCGAGAGACTGCGAAGAGAGATAGGAAGAGGCGGACGCCCAAGGGTGGGCGACGGCTAGCGCACCACACCCCTCTCCTTAAAATCCCTGTGTGGTGGCGGCGTGCCGTCCTCCCATCCCTCCCTTGGGTTGTCCGTGGCAGGAGTGCGGAGAAGAGCTCGCCGAACGCGAGCAGCAGATGGCCAAAGTGTGCCAGCGCGAGAGCCTCGCGAGCGGGCGCAGAAGGAGCTCGCCGTGACACGATGCCGGGCGGTGGTGGTGCTCTGGCGACTGTGCACAGTGGGCAAAGTCAGGCTGCAACAGGGCAGCACGATGGTAGTGCCCTGCTGCAGCCTGGCCTGACATGCACAGGGCGAACAGAGACACTACTATCGTCCGGCGCTCGTCACCAAATCTGGGCGAACTTCGACCGCCGCCACAGCTCACCACGAGCACGCAGCGACAAAATGTTGACGGTACGGAAGTTGAGGCTGGTCGAGAGGAAGAGGCTGCCGTGCGAGCCGGCATCTGGCGGCTGGCACTACATTCTTTTCGAATCCAGCGCATGGGCGCCCAGTAGTGCCGCTCCTCCGCTGCTGCTCGGTGTGAACAGTTCGTACACCGAGCAGCTGGGAGCTCCGCAACTCGATCCCTCGAGACCAGACAGGAGGCGGCCAATGGAGTGTGCCATCTGCTTCGACCCGCTTTTGGAGAGCGAGCGGCTGCCGCTGCCCTGCCGCTGCACGGTGCCCTACTGTCTGGGCTGCTGGGACCGGGCGCTCGCCTCCTCCTTCAACAGCGCGGGCCACGCCCGCTGCCCCTCTTGCCGCCGGCCGGTTCGCGTGGACTTTGACCCGGGAGACGAGGACGGCCCCGCACGCGGACGGCTCATCTTTAGCGCAGAGACGGGCGACGGCAGCAGCGCAGAGGATGCTGTCTCCAAGGAGGGGGTGGTGAATCGGCTGGCGGAGCAGGCGGCGCCGCTCATGACGAGGCTGCTGCGCCGGTTTGGAGAGCGGCACTCGTCGCTGCGCGCGATTGCTGAGGCGCCTTCCGAGGCGCTTAGAGGCCGCTCCATCCGGGAGCTCAAGGCGTGGCTCAAGGAGGTGGGCGGCAGCGACTCCGGCCTGCTCGAGAAGGCGGACCTCATCGACGCGCTGATTGCCAAGGCGGGTGGAGGCATGATTGCCTCGCGGGTCGTGGCTGCCACCGAGGGCGGAGGCGAGGGCTGCCCGCCCCTCTGCGTCTGCGGCGGCGCGCTGGAACGCCTCACCGGGCGGGCGCGGATGCGGCAGCTGCTAATTGAGCAGCATGGAGTGCGAGAGTCGGCGAACATCGACGCGCTGCTCGACCACGCAGCAGACCGGCTGCCCTCGTCCGTCATCTGCGACTTGTGCGACACGCAGCTGTCCCCCTTGCAGCCGGTCTACACGTGCGCAAACGGCGACGCGACCATCCTGCACCCCACCACGTACGACGTCTGCGAGGTCTGCTTCGTGCGCTACGCGGTGGAGGGCCTCGGGGACGAAGCCCTCGCCACCGAACGGCAGCTCCTGTACGAGGAGGAGGAGATCGAGGCCCAGGAGGAGGTCGAGGCGCAGGAGAGCGGCGGGCGCGGGGAGGCTGCTAGAGGAGCGTTGGAAGGCTGAACGTGCGAACTCTGTGGGGCCTGTGACGGGGTGCCGAGAGTGTGGAGACTTCTCTTTGTTCGAGAGAGCTCGCTGCTCGATCTCGTTTTAAGTCGGTCGAGAGTGCAGAGAGACGGTGGCACAGGGCGGCACAAGGGCAAAGCCGAACGAAGGGGCAAAGCCACAACGGGGTGTCCACAGAACGCAGAGGGGCAGAGCTGAAAAATGCGAAATACGGCGGGGCTGGTCGCGGTGTGCTTGGCCCGCTCGCCCAGGCGACGGACCGCTCGCCCTAGCCACCCTCCCACACGCCGCGAATCCACGTCTCGAGCGGCCGCAGCAGCCGCTTCGACGGCGACACGTGCGCACCTACAGGAGTGGCGGCGGAACGCGTCGGAGCGCGCGTGCCCTGGCGCTCGGGCCTCGCCGAGGGAAGAGGACAGGCTGGCCCGCGCTCGAGCTCGCAGACGCGTCGCTCGAGAGGGCGGCCAGCGGCGGCACTTCCGGCGCGCTCGACTCCTCCGACAGCAGCCTCCGCGCCCGGGTTCCTGAACAAGGAACGCGGCGGCTCAAGGAGACAGAAAGAGCTGTCGATCGCCGCTCCGCGCGCGGTCGCCGTCCGCCATCCGCAAGCCCGACGCGGCGCGCTCGTACGCGCGCGGCGCGGCGGCGGCGCCGGCGCCCAACTCGGCCTCGTATGAGTTTGTCCACAAGTCGAAGACCACGCCGCCCGACGCAAGGGTCGGCATCGGCAACCGCTGCGAGAAATCGAGGCGCAGCATCTCGTGGGCCGTCCCCTCGCTGGCGGCGAGGGCGCCGAAGAGCTGCCGCTCGCCTAGAGACCGGCAACGCCGCCTCGACTGGCGGGCCGGGCGAGCGCGGCGCAGCAGCGGGGCGACAAGCAAGTGCGCCCGCGCCGCCCAACTCGGACGCGTGGTGCAGCAGCGAGAGGGCCTCGTCGCGGGAGAGAGCCTGCAGCAGCCGCGGCTCGAGCAGCCGGAGCAGCTCGACGGCGACGTGCCTGCGGACGTGTCGTGAGGGACGCGTCGCGGGCGTGTGCGGCCGAGAGAGCGGCGGCGTGTGCGGCGACGCGCGCGGCGGCGACGCGCCAGAGCAGCGCCTCGCCGTCGCGCAAGTAGCAGTCCCAGACCCTCGCCGCCGTGTCGAGCGCGAGGGTGGAGAGGAAGAGCGACGAGAGCCAGTCGCACACAAAGTCGTCGAGCCCGACGCCGAGCGAGCCTAACACACACACAGGGGGCGCCGCGAGCTCGAGGAGGGGCGGTAGCGGTGGGTCTGCCAGCCGCAGCGAGACGCCGAGCGAGCCCACAGGTGCGGTCTCGGCTACCCCTCGCGGCTAGCCGTGTGAGCGGCTCGAGCACCGCCGCCTCATCTCCGGCGTCTCTCGGCTATGTCTCGGCTGCATCTCGACCAGATCTCGGCCAGATCTCGGCCAGATCTCGGCTAGACCTCGCCCAAGTGCTCGAGCGTCTCGGGCAGCTCGCGCTTGAGGCACGAGCGAGTGGCGCGCAGCCGCCACGCCAGCTGCGGCGACCCCTCCTCCACGTGCGCGAGGAAGTGCCTGCCGAGCAGCGAGGCCATTCATAGCTCACGACGGCCCCTCAGCTGTGAACTGGGCGAGGACGTGCCTCCCGAGCAGCGTGCACATGCAGCCGTGCGCGGACGGCGGCTCGAGGTAGAGCAGCAGCGCCTGTGGGCGTGTCTCGGACATGTCATGGACGTGTCCTGGACGTGACAAGGGGCTCGAGGTAGTAGAGCAGCCGCGCCGCGCAGAGCAGAGCCGCGTGGCGGCGCAGCGGCGGCGCGCCGATGCGCGCGCCCGCCTCGAGCGCGGCGAGCAGCGAGACGAGCTTCGCGTGCATCGGCGACGCGCTGTTGGTGAAGAGGTTGAACTCTGGCGGCGCACCTTGAGCGGCAGCGGAGGACCAGGAGTGAGCGACGCCTCGAGGGTGGTGACCACGGTTGAGCTCTGGCGGCGCACCCGCCCACGGCCGCTCGACGGGCGACGCCGAGCCGGCGGCGGCGGCGGGGCGGGCGAGCGCGCTCTGTATCCGGTCGAGCGCCGCCACGCGGTCGACGGGGCGCGTCTCCGCCACCGCCGCCTCGTAGCCCGCCCTCCCCGCCGCCGCCTCGCCGATCGCGATCCGCCACAGCTGCGCGCGCACCGCGCTCGGCGCCCCCTCCCACCAGAGCAGCTGCGTGCGCGGCTCGAGGCTTGCAGACTCCCAGTTGGGGAGGATCTCGCACCACCAGACGGACGTCGCGCTCTCGACGAAGGCCTCGCGTGGCTGGCCTGTTCACAGCTGCAGGTGTGAAGAGACGCTGTTCACACCCTCCCTGTTCACACCCTCGCGTGGCTGGCCGCGCAGCGCGACGCGGCGCGCGTGCTGCTCGAGCTTGGTCCGCTCGACCACCTTCGTCCGCAGCGAGTGGGCGGCACTCAGCGTGTCATTCTCTCTCCGCTGCTCCTGCTGTTGTGGTCCGCTCGGGGCCACCTGCTGGAAGTAGTGCGTCCACAATGCCATACTCGGAAGTGTCTCGGAAGTGTCTAGCCACCTGCTGGAAGTAGTGCGTTCGCAATGCCATACTCGGGAGTGTCTCGGAAGTGTCTCGGAAGTGTCTGGCCACCTGCTGGAAGTAGTGCGTCCAGATGCCATACTCCTCGGGCGTGAGCGCCTACCCCAAACAGCGCTCCGGCCTGAGGCTGCCGCGATGGCGTAGAGGAACGCCGCGCTCGCCGTGGCTGCGGACGCGCTGCTCGCGGCGGTGGCGGAGGCGGCACCGGTGCGGCGGGCTGGCTGGCTTCAGCCCTCCACCCCTCGCCAACATTGTGTGGGCGCGTGCGGCGGCGGGCGGCGAGGCGGGGGGCGCCTGCAGGTCGAGCGTGCGGCCGCCACACACGAGCGAGAAGCAGGCGGCGCCGTCCGACGACTCGGCGCGGACGCCGTTGCGGCGGAAGACCTCGCTCGCCGGTCCGAGCAGCACGGTCTCGATGAGGCCGAGCGGGATCGCCTTCTCCTTCTTGCCGCGCGCGGCGAGGTTCTGGTAGCGCAGCTCGTCCGCGACGACCCAGAGGCGGCACGAGTGGTGCCTGTGGACATGCCTCGGCGACATGTCAAGGCCGCGCCTCCTCGCAGGCGGCCAAGCCAGAGGCGGCACGAGTGGCGCCGGTCGGCGGCGAGCCGCGCGTGGTTGAACTTGCGGAAGGTGGAGCCCTGCCGGAAGAACTCGAGCAGCTCTGCCTCGCCCATGTCGTCGTGCGACATGCCCGTCCGGATCTCGTCCGTCTGGATGTCGTCGTACACGGCCGACAGCAGCTCCGCGGGCAGGTCGGCGCCCGAGTCGATGCCGCGGTTGTTGCGCACGAAGTCCGCCTTGCTCATCCGGTTCTTGGCCTTGATCTGCACCGAGTGCGCGTCCGTGTTGAGCATGATGACCGAGAAGCCGAGCACGTACGCCGTGTCCGCCGACGAAAAGACACCCGGGGCCTGGCCGAGGGCGGGCAGGGGGTTGGGCGAGGGGGCTGGGGGAGAGGGGTGGGGGGAGGGGGTCCCAGGCCTTGGCTGCCCTGTCGCGGGCGAACTCGCACATGATGCGGTCGATCTTTTGCGCCTCGCCTGTTCACAGCTGGAGGTGTGAGGAGACGCTGCTCACAGCCGCCGGTCGGTACCCGTTGCGCCTCGCCCGGCAGCCGGAAGGGGGAGAGGAAGGCGCGGATCGCCCCGACAAAGGAGAGGCCGGCAAAGTCGAAGCGGCGCACGTACGCCGAGAGGAGCTCGGCGTGCCGCTCGCCGCGCTCGCCGAGGTAGTCGCCGAGCTTTCGCTTCGAGAGGCCCTTCGTTTCGTGGAGGAAGGCCGCGATGTCACCCTACCAGACCCGGTAGGCCCAATCCAATCACAGAAGAGAGAGGCCGCCTCGTCTCTCGTGCAGGAAGCGAGAGCGATGTCTGCCGTGCCTGGGGAGATCTGGGGAGATCTGGGGAGATCTGGGGAGATCTGGGATGTCTGCCGGCTCCGCAGACAGGAAACCGCGCAGCTGCAGGTACTGAACGCCGTCGCGCGGCTTGAGGTTGAACTTTCGCACCTTCATTCACAGCGACCTCGCCGGTCAGTAAGCATCAAGGGGGCTGCTGGGCATAACGGTCGAGCTCTCGCGCCTACGTTGATGCGCCAACCTCAGGGCGGGCTTACGGTATTGTGCTGAGTCTTCAGAGCACCGCGTGAAGACAACGGAGGGAGAGGCCGACAGCACAGTGGAATGCGGGTGTGAAGACAGCGGAGTCCGTGTCCTCTCCTCCTCTCGAGTGCTGGGTGGGAGACCAAGGCACACACGTCGCCCGCTACTAGGCTCGCGCGCGCCGCCACGAGCAGCTCCTGGTCGTACGACGCGACCGGCTGGACCACCGACGACGTGCGCACCGGCGCCGGCGCCGCGCTCGCCGGAGCGCCGCCGCCGGAGCTGCCCGCCACGGCATCGGCGCGAACAGCCGTCGGCGACTCGCCGCTGTCGCCGCCGCCGCCGCGACTGCTGCTGCTACTGCCGCCGCTCCCCCCACCGCTGCTACTGCCGCCGCCGCCCCCGCCGCTGCTGCCGCCCCCGCCGCTGCTGCCGCCCCCGCCGCTGCTGCCGCCCCCGCCGCTGCTGCCGCCCCCGCCGCTGCTGCCGCCCCCGCCGCTGCTGCCGCCGCTGCCGCCTCCGGCCGTGGCGGAGGCTGGCCGCACTGCCGGCGGGGCAGGGGCCCGCTCTGCGCCGTGCAGCTGTAGCTCGACCATCGAGCCGGCCCCTATGGGTTCGGGTGCTGTGGGGTAGGCGGAGGGTGGGTTCGGGTACTATGGGGTAGGGGAGGGTATCGACCCGGCCCCTAGAGCGGTGACGACAGGGGACGCCGCGCGCGGCAAGACCAACCTTGGGGCGTGTGTAGTTCGGCGCAGTCGCGCGGAGACGGGCGCTACGAGTGCAGCCGAAGACGTGCCCCCGCGAGCGCCAGCTGGAGATGCAAGGGACTGTCCTCCGCTTCTAGGGAAACGGTGCTGCTCATCGCACCGCGGCTGCTCTCGGCTGCTCTCGGCTGCTCTCGGCTCCTCCCAGCTCCTCTCGGCTCCTCCCGGCTCCTCTCGGCTCCTCCCGGCTCCTCTCGGCTCCTCTCGGCTCCTCTCGGCTACTCTCGGCTACTCTCGGCTCCTCCGCCCATCGCGCCGCCGCGAGACGCGCGCACGAGCGGCGCCGCGAAGAAGAAGGAGGAGCCGCGGTCATCCTCGTCCTCGTCGTCGCCCTGCCCGCCTGCCGCCGCCAGGGATGTCGCCTCCTCTCCGCCGCTGCGCAAGCCGTGCTCGCCGCCGTACGGCGCCGCGGCCAGCCCCGCCAACTCGAGGCCCGTCGACGATAGCAGCCCCGCAGACTCCTCCGCCTCGAGCCGGGGCGGAGCGGACCTGCAGGCACACTCCGAGGAGAAGTGCGGGCAGGGTCGGAGCAGGCTCCGCCTCGCGTCGCGGCGGAGCAGACCGCTCGGAGACAGCGGCGAGGGAGGCGGCGAGCGAGTGCGCGACCTCGGCCCCGCCCGACGGGTTCCGCCGGTGCCGCCCGCCAGCCTTGCGCGCGCTGCACGACGAGGGCAGCAGCGCCTCCCCGTCGTCCTCGTCGGAGGCGGAGCTCTGCTGCCGCGCCTGCTACGGGGGGGGGGGGGGGGCAGCCCCAAGTGACGCCTCCGGACCTCCCGCCGTACAGCGGGCCGCCCCGAACTGACTCGAGGCGGTCATCGTCCGTCATCGAGTGGGGAGGGATGGGGACTCCGGGACTGAGAGACTTCAGGGACTGAGAGACTTCAGGGACTGAGGGACTTAGGTGTCCGTGCTCGCTTGCTGCCGCGCCTCGGCCGCGCCACCCCACGGCGCCGCGCCAGCCGCCCCGGCGCGCAAAGCTGGCGCCCCGACCGAGCCGGAGCGGCGGTGCGGCGCGCCTGCGACCGCCAGCGAGAGTGACTCGCATGCGCACGAGCAGCGCGCCGCCGCGCCCGCCGCGCCCGCCGCGCCCGCCGCGCCCGCCGCGCCCCCTCCCCGCCCCTCCAGCCGCAGGCCGTCGCGGGCGGAGCGCGCGCGCTGCAGCCGCTCCCGCACACGCGGCGTGGCCGCGTCCTCGGGCGGCGGCGCGAGCAGCACCGTGGCCGCGGCCGCAGCGCCCTCCTCCGCCGCCGTCGCGACGGCGCCGCTCGGGGCCGCTGCATCGGGCGCCTGCACGGCCGGCTGCACGGTCGCCTCGGCTGGCGCCGGAGCCACTGGCGGCGTCATCGGCGGCGCAGGCTCCGGGAGCGCCGGCGCCTCCCATTCTGGCCGCTCTGGCTGCTCCGGCCGCTCCTCCTCTGGCGGCTCCGGCCGCGGCGGCGGCGGCGCTGGCTGCGACTCTGGCGGCAAACCGCCGTCTGGCTGCGGCTCCGGCGCCGGCTGCGATTCTGGCGGCAAGCCTCCGTCGGGAGGGAAACCGCCACTGAGGGCAAAGGCTTCCGACTCCTGGCTCGAGTACCCCGGGTCAAATGGAGGCGACGGGAAGGGCGAGATTTGGCTCGGAGACTCGCCGCCGGGACCAGTGGAGGCCATAAACGCGCTCTGGCCACGACTAAACGCGCCGCGGCCTTCGCAGCACCGGACGACGCTCAGCCTCTCCCAAACGGGCGGTCCCCTCTCTCCCAGGCTTGCTTTGTGCAAAAGAAATCGGGCGACCTCCGTGGCTCTTCCTTGTGGAGGAACGCGACTCCAGACTGACCCTCGACGCTCCAATGTATCACACCCCACGGTGCTAGATGCTTGGGTCATGTAGAAAGAAAGAAAGAACACACCCAAGCCAGAGGAGGGACGGGAGTGAGTGAGTGTGAGTGAGTGTGACACACACACACACACACACACACACACACACACACACACACACATGAGCGGAGAGCTGTACACGGAGCGAGGGTCTGTACCGAGGCGTACAGGAACGATACAAGCAAGACTACATCAGCCAAGCCGCGGTTGAGCGGAGACGTCCGACAAACAGAGCAATAAGCAAGCCGGCCTGACACGTCCCGCACATGTCCCTGTTCACACAGACATCTCGCTAGGATAGAGACGTCTCTCCCTCTCTCTCTCTCTATCTTTGTGCCGCGTCCTGTGCCGCCGAGTTCATTATACATATATATATTCATGAGGAGGGCGTTCACACTCCCAAGAGTAGGCCTTTAAATCACTCCTCCCCGCTGTACACTGTAGTCGGCCCCGTGAACCTTCACGGGACTCTCACAGTTTGCTGTGAGAGCTCCTGTGTGAAGAGTGCGTAAGGGGTTGCCTTTAAATTCTTTTGGCTCCGGTGGTGAGCCTGTGTGCGTGCCAGTCCGCGCCAGTCTGCGCCCTTGTCGTGCCAGTGTGCTGTGAGAGAGGCTTCTATCTAGAATTCTTTTGGCGAGGAGTCCGAGAGAAGAGGTACATGACACTCCGCCCCTTCCTATCCCTGCTGCTCGCGCTGGTCCTCCCGGCAAGCTCTGCGCTGGTTCTCCCGGCGGGCGGTCGCCTCGCGCCTCGGCTCGCCGTGCGCCCGCCTCGCGCCCACGCAGCGCCGCCTCGCTGCTCGTCCGCCGCCTCGCCGGGCGCCAGCGAGAGCGGCAGCAGCGGCAGCAATGCGCCGCGGCGGCGTCGGCTGCTGCCGCGGCTCCCGCTGGCGAGCGGCTCCGGGGGTCGGATGCGCGTGCCGCCTTGGCTCGATCGCCTCGCCACCCGCGCGTCCAAGATGCGCTGGCTGCGGCTGCTCTACGTGTTTCTGCTCGCGGCGCTCGTGCCCGTGCTGCTGGGGCGGCGCGCTCCGCCGCAGCGGGCGGTCGAGGTCTCGTACGCCGCCTTCATGCAGCTTGCGGCGCGCGAGAGCGGCCGCATCAGCGGCCTCCGCCTCTCTCTCTCGCGGTACGGCTTCCTGCTCGACGGCGCTCCAGCCTTCACGCGGCCGGTGAGGGCGCCGTCAGACCTGCAACCCTTCTAGGGCCCCTCTCGGACCCTTCTAGGACCCTCCTAGGTGCGGGCGCCGTCGGACCTGGTCTGGTTCCTACACAAGCACGGCGTCGACTTCCGCGCCGCGCCCGCCTCTGCCGCCGGCGCCCTCCTCCCACTCCTCTTCCCCCTGCTCTGGCTCGGCGCGCTCTACTCGATGATGCGCCGGCAGATGGGCGGGCAGGGCAACGTGTCGAAGCGGGCGTCGGCGCAGCTCCTCTCGGCGGACGGCCTCTCCTGTGAGGTGTGAACAGCGTCTCTTCACACCCACTGCTGTGAACAGGCGCAGCTCCTCGCGGCGGACGGCCTTTCCTTCGAGGACGTCGCCGGCATCGACGCCGCCAAGGAGGAGGTGCGCGAGGTTGTGGCGATGCTCAAGAGCCCGGCCACTTACGCCGCCGCCGGCGCGCGGCTGCCGTCGGGCGTGCTGATGTGCGGGCCGCCCGGCACGGGCAAGACGCTCCTCGCCCGCGTCATGGCGGCGCAGGCGGGCGTGCCGTTCTTCTACTGCTCGGGGTCTGACTTCGTCGAGCTCTTCGTCGGGCGCGGCGCCGCCCGCATGCGCGCCCTCTTCAAAGAGGCTGCCGCCGTGTCCCCGTGTATCGTCTTTGTGGACGAACTCGACGCTAGAAGCGGAAGACGGGTTCTTGTACCCCACCTAGCGCCTGAGAGACACGGACTCCGCTGTCTTCACACGCACTCCGCTGTATCCACTGTCCTCCTCTCCGTTGTCTTCACGCGGTGCTCTGAAGACGCTGCACAATACCGTCCCCCCGCCCTCATGTTGGCGTATTCAGCACGTAGGAGCTCGACGCGCTCGGCAAGCAGCGGTCGATGCGGCTCGCGGGGTCTAACGACGAGGTGCAGCCGAGAGGCAGCCGAGAGGCAGCCGAGAGGCAGCCGAGAGGCAGCCGAGAGGCAGCCGAGAGGCAGCCGAGAGGCAGCCGAGAGGCAGCCGAGAGGCAGCCGAGAGGTGGCCGAGAGAGAGCCGTACGAGGTGGCCGTCAGCCGCTTGGGTGTCGCCCCACATCGCCCCAGGAGGTGATGCCTCGCCTGGTCGCCCTGAGATCCCAGCATGAGATCCCAGCACGAAGGCTCGCAGCGGTGGGGGCCTCTCTTACTGTTGCAACACGATCTCAGAGCCGGTCGCAAGATGGGCCAGTGAGCGCGCGGCGCGGCTTCCTGAGCCGCTCACATGCCTACCTCGGCTGCCTCTCGGCTGCAGGTCGAGCCGAGTCTTTCACTCCTCCGGCCGAGCCGAGCAGTGACACTGAGTAGGTCGAGCAGACGCTCAACCAGATGCTCGCATGTATGGATGGGCTCGGGGGGGAGTCGAGGGATATCGTCGTCATCGGCGCTACCAACCGGTGCGACTGCCCTCGACCCCGCCCCCTTCCGAGCCCCTTCCGAGACATGTCCGAGCCCCTTCCGAGACATGTCCGAGACACGCCGCTCCCCCTGCCAGGTGCGACATCTCGACCCCACCTGTTCACGGCAGTGGGTGTGAAGAGACGCTGTTCACACCTCACAGGTACGACATCCTCGACCCCGCCCTCACCCGGCCTGGCCGCTTCGACCGCCTTGTGCGCATCGAGCTGCCCGACGAGGTGGAGACATAGCCGCGACATAGCCGAGAGACGGCCGGTACATAGCGGAGATGTGGCATCGAGACGGCGGGAGCTAGCAGGGCAGACGCCACTCCAAGAGTGGCACCGCACCGGAGACCGCGCGCCGAGCGACAGGCGGGGGCGGCTCAACGCCCTGCTACCACACCACCCACGGGACTGAACCCACACTGGATTCGAGACTCTGGAGGTATGGTAGGCGGGGCGGCTCAACACGCTGCGCGTGCACACCAAGTCCCTCGCCCTCGCCCCCGACGTCTCGCTACGCAAGGTTGCGGCCGCGACGCCAACATTCTCAGGCGCCGAGAGGCAGCCGAGAGTCAGCCGAGAGGAAGCCGAGAGATCGTTCGGAGATCGTTCGGAGATCGTTCGAAGATCGTTCGGAGATCGCTCGGAGATCGCTCGGAGATCGCCGAGACATAGCCGTGACGCCCCTCCCCCCCCCTTCTCTGGCGGCGGAGAGTCGCAAGCACTCATCTCTGCTTCTACCTGTGAGCAGAGCTCGCAATCTCGGCTATCTCTCGCCTATCTCCCGGCTATCTCCCGGCTATCTCTCGGTTGTCTCTCGGCTGTCTCTCGGCTGTCTCTCGCCTATCTCCCGGCTATCCCGGCTATGTCTCGGCTATGTCTGCGGGCAGGAGCGGAGCTCGCCGCTCTGACCAACGAGGCTGCGATCCGCTCCGTGCGCCGCGCCGTCGCCAGTATTGCGAGCGAGCAGGGCGGCGGCGGCGGCGGCGGCGCGGGGATGGCCATGCCGGCGCACAGTGGCGCGGGCGGGCCAGTCACTATGGCTGACTTCGACTCTGCGCTGGTCGACTTTGTGACTTCGCGGCGCAAGGGGCCAGTCGGCGGGCTCCTCGGCAAGGCGTGTCAAACGGCCCTGCCCCTCCCTCCCCGCGCCGCTGCGCTCACCCCGCCCCGTCCTCCCCGCGCGCGCGAAGGTCCTCGGCTAGTGTTGCTTGCCAGGCGCCTGCCCCCTCTACTGCTGCCCCCTCCCCGGCAATACGGCGGGGCCACTCTCCTGCGAGCTTGCGTGAGGAGTGGGTGGGGGCGGGAGAGCAGCTGAACACGGGCGGGCGGCGGCGGACTCCGGCTCGCGTGTCGACCATGGACTCCGCTGCTGCACGCCAGCGCAACGCGCGCGCGCAGTCCGTGAGGACATCGTGCGGGTTCGATGCGAGAGGGAGAGAGCGAGAGCGAGAGCGAGAGAGATGTTACTATGCGCGAAAAACACATCGTACAGTTTTAAGGCTTCCGCGGGTGCCGCGAGCCTCGTGGGGTCTCTCGCCCTGATGGCGCGCCTCCTCCGCGAGCTGCCGATCTGGCCACTCGTCCGTTAGAACGAAATAGCACCTCGACCACCTCTACCTCGACCACCTCGACAACCCACCTCGACCCGCTCCCTGCGCGGCTCCCCTGAGGCTTCCGCGGGTGCCGCGAGCCTCGTGGGGTCTCGCCCTGATGGCGCGCCTCCTCCGCTGCCGATCTGGCCACTCGTCCGTTCGTGTAGTACCTAGGCGCGCTGGACATTGCTCGCTCGCCACTTCCTCCGCGACGCCTGCTCAGTCAGTCATTCTTTGTGCGGCTATCAGGGCACGACTCCGTGTTTAGCTAATGGGAGTTGTCTCTTGAATGTCGGGCTGGACTGTTCGCGTGCGAGTGTCGGTGATGTGCAGGGTCCTGGGAAGCAAAG